GAAAGAAAGAAAAAGAAAGAAAGAAAGAAAGAAAGAAAGAAAGAAAGAAAGAAAGAAAGAAAGAAAGAAAGAAAAAGAAAGAAAGGAAAGAAAGAAAGAAAGAAAGAAAGAAAGAAAGAAAGAAAGAAAGAAAGAAAGAAAGAAAGAAAGAAAGAAAGAAAAATCCAAGGAAACTACCTTATGTGGTGCCAACCCAAGCACATGTCCATGCTCCTCCCTGTGAATAAATGGCATATGCTCTGGTCGCTGGTGCTTCTGCATCCACCTGCCACAGAAAGAATTGGTGGTATCATAGAGACTAACCAGAACTGAGAAGGGAGTGTCTGCTTGTGGCCGAATTTGACCCATTGGCAAGATTTAGCTATGCCTTTTTTCAGATGCTTCGCTCATATTTCCACGTTTGTGAATACTTTATTTTTAGAAACTGACGTTTATATTCTTCATAATAAAGTCTCTCATTAACTAAGTTGAAGACTTTGACTGCTTGGGGAACTCCTCCCCTTCTGTATAGTCTCCTCTTTGTAAAAACTGACTCCTGATTGTCTGATTATTTGACAATTATTATATTGTCTAATGATACTGTAACAATGTCAAAAGTTCACATGATGTTTTATTGTCTTTGTTGACTTTTCCCCCCACTCCCTGGCCAAATAGCCACTTGGTCATTTTCAAACTGGATAAACTTGGGCAACTTACTTAACTTTTCCGAATCATAGACCTTTCCCCTTTTAACTGGCGTGAGTTTTAAATTAAGCGTTCAGGGCGCCTGGGTGGCTCAGTTGGTTAAGCGACTGCCTTCGGCTCAGGTCATGATCCTGGAGTCCCGGGATCGAGTCCCGCGTCGGGCTCCCTGCTCAGCAGGGAGTCTGCTTCTCCCTCTGACGCTCTTCCCTCTCGTGCTCTCTATCTCTCATTCTCTCTCTCAAATAAATAAATAAAATCCTTTAAAAATTAATTAATTAATTAAGTGTTCAGTGAAATATTGCAGGTAAATTGTTCAGCGCATGGTCGGCATTTGTATGCTTCTTCACCTTTTCCTTTATAGCAGAACCTAAGCTCTCACAAAGTGAGAGAGAGGACTGTTTTGCCTAGCTCTCTTTGCCAGCGTTCGATTCTTGAAAACTTGTAAGTTGTGATTGAATTAAGTTAAATCTATTTATTTATTTATGTATTTGAGAGAGGGGGGTGGTGGAGAAGCAGAGGGAGAAGGACAAGCAGACTCTGTGCTTAGTGCAGAGCCTGACTGAAGCCCGATATCATGACCCTGAGATCATGACCTGAGCCAAGACCAAGAGTTGGATGCTTAACTGACTGAGTCACCCAGGCGCCCCTAAATTAAACCTTTAATTTTAAATAAGAAGAATCACTTAGAGGGAGTTCAATCAAACATGATGTTCCTGGGATCTCTGTACCCACTGATAAATGTGAAGAAAATAAACCAGGAGGGCTTGGCTAGTCCCCTCACCAGGGAGACCTGCCTCAGCTCAGTGCATCCATCTGGTGCTGACTGGGTCAGCAAAGTCTGCCTAACTCTGCAGTTTAGCTTCATAAAGACCGATTTCCCACAGATGCAATCCATGGACTCTGATCCAGCCTTTAATAGTTTCCCATCTTATTATATTTTATCCTTTCTCTAACGTGTTCAGAATTAGGAGGGAAGATGGTGCTGTATATTGACACATCCTCACAGAGATTTGGACACTGAACTTGTTCCTGAAATTTGGCCTTTTATTTGTAAAGTTTATTGTTAGTCTTTCATAATATTATTAATGTTGATCATATTTAAGTATAGTGATTTCTTTTTAGTGCTAACCAGAGATTTTGTTAGAAGCAGCGCAGTATAGCTCGGTTTGGGTTCAGGAGCCACTCTGCCTTGGCTCACATCCTAGCTTCAGCATTTCCAATATGCGTGACATTGTTTCACCTCTCTGAGTTTCAGTTTTCTCTTTTGTAAAATAGGAAAACTAATAATTGTAGCAATACAGTTGTTGCTAGGAGAATTAAGTTGATGCCAGCAAAGCACTTAGAACAGTGCCTGGAACAGAGCAAGCACTTAATAAACATGAGCTCCTATTATTGGAAATGGCTGCTAACTTTTAGCAAAAGCCTTTCAGTAACTCTTGATATAATTGTGTGATCTTCCTCCTTTATTTTGTTCCTGTGCTGAATTGGAGACACATATTTCCTAATGTTAAACCATTTTTGTTTCCTGGAATTCTACCTGGTCGTGAAATGATTTTCTTTTAATAGATGGTTGGATTTGATTTGCAAAGATTTTATTTAGACTCTTGGCATCTATATTCAAAGATAAAGTTGGTCTGTTTTCTTTTTGTATTATCTTTATTATGTTTTAGTATTAAGAGTAAACTAGGCTTGTAAAATGTATCAAAGTTCTTTCTTCTTTGATGTAGTGTGGAATAATTTAAGTAAGATAGGAATATCTGTTCTTTAAAAATGCTGTAGACTTTGTGGTGCCTGGATGGCTCAGTTAAGTGTCTGACTCTTGGTTTCAGCTCAGGTCTCCATCTCAGGGTCATGGGTTCATGCCCCACATTGGGCTTCACGCTGGGCATGGAGCCTACTTAAAAAAAAAGTAAAATAAATAAAAATTCTGTATACTTAGCTATAAAACCATCTGAGACTGATGCTTTCTTAAAAGGTAGATCATTAATTAACTTTCTTATTTCTTATATGATTATTGGTTTCATTTTAGTTTTTTTCCCCTGCTTATTAAGTCAACTTGGTCATTTGTATTTTGTTCAAAAATTATTTCCTTCTGGGGCACCTGGGTGGCTCAGTTGGTTGAGCACCCTTACCATCTTGGTCTCCTACCTCTTAATCCTCATTTCCTTCCTGAGAATGAACTCAGTCCAGTGCAGGTTCAAGGCCTTTTCTACCTGTGCTTCCCACCTCACTGCTGTCTGCCTCTTCTATGGCACAGTACTTTTTATATACCTGCACCCCAGGTTCAGCTACTCGTTGACCCAAGACCGCACAGTTGCTGTGATCTACACAGTGGTAATCCCAATGCTGAACCCCCTTATGTACTCTATGTAATATATAGTATTTTTAAAAATAACATTATCTGGATATTTATTGCATGTGTACAGAAGTAAAATTGCCTTTTATATATTTACTTTTTTGTCCAAACACACTGCTACACTTTCTCTATCAATGCCAAATTTTATCTATAGACTGGGAAGGGTTTTCATGTAGGGAATATTATCTTTTCCCTTTCCAATCCTTATGCTTAAAATAATTTTTTTTATTGCTTGACTGCACTGATTTGGAACTTCAGCCTGATGCTGAATAGAAATAGTAAAGAAAGACTTTTCTTTGCATCAGGAATCTGGGCATGGCTCATCTGGGTCCTTAGCTTCAGGGTCTCAGAAGGCCACAGTCAAGGTGTCAGCCAGGACTGGGTCTCATCTGAGGCTCAGCTGGGGAAGGATACATTTCCAAGCTAACATCCTTGTTGTCAGGAGTCAGTTCCTTGTGCTCATGGGCTGCCAGCCAGAGGCCATGCTCAGTTCCTTGGCATGTGGGCCTCTCTGTAGGGCAGTTTACTTCATGAAATCTAACAAGAGGGAGGGTCAGTAGAGTCTGTAGCAAGATGGAAGTTACAACTGCATTTAACATGATCACAAAAATGATATCCATTACTTTTGTTGTATTCTCTTTTCTAGAAACATGTCTCAGGCCCCATTCATACTCCAAAGGCAATGGACTACACATGGGCGTGAATATCAGGAAGCAGCGATGACTGGAAGCATTTTAGAATCTGTCTGTCACTACCTCCTACTCCACATCCCCAGTTCCTATTTTCAGGGGAGCAGCTCCTCTTACCTGTTCCTTGCAAACCCATCTAGAAATATTGTATGCATCTATGGGAAATCACACCTCCAACACACACTCAAAAATGTATACACTTGTATACACAGTGCTTAGCACCCAGATTTTTACATTTAACAATATGTATGTTTTAAAAACTAGTCCATGTTAGTAGTTACAGATCTCGTGTTCTCTTTTATGACTGTATATTCTTGCATTGTTTGGATATCCCACCATTTATTTTACCAGCCCCCTCTTTCATAGATACTTAGATTGTTGCAAATCTTTTGCTATTACAAACAATGCTGGAAGGTATGCTGCAATTCCTGACAAAAAGTACATACATTTTAAGCTTTGATAGTTATTGCCAAATGGCCTTCCTAACAAGCTGAAGAACCAGTTTATACATTGATCCGCACTGAATTAGAGTGCCTGTTTCCATTCTCAGTTTACGCTTTGGAAATACTGATCTGTTTGTACATCCCAGAGTATACCACGCTTCCTTAAGCTTTTTCCCTTGGCCTCATACTTGTACACTGTCTGTAACATTTTCCTTCCATTTGCTTTCTTGGAAAAAATCCTACACATTCTTCAAGTTCTTTGCTCAAATGTCACCTTTCTGTGAAGTCTCCTTTTGCCGAGGATCCTATGTTCCCGATAACCTTGTGCGTATCTTTATTAAGGGATGTGATTATTTTGATTTACAATATTATAATTATAATAGAATCATTTCTCTCCTTCTCCACTAGAAGGC